AAGTGGGGCTAAGGGTCCAGGGTCCCGGGCCTGTGGGCCTCTCTGTGTAGAGAGAGACATTACACGACAGAAGGAAGACAGGGGGGTCGTCTGGCCTCAGAACACCTCGTTCAAAAGCAAGGAGGAAAAGGCCTCTGAGTCACTGGAGCAAATTACTGTGGTCAGCGGAGAAGGATCAGGCTGTGTGCATATGTGTGCTCATGCACGTGGATACATGTGATTACATACGTGGGCATGGAGGGTGTGTATGCCCGGAGTATGTGCATGGGTGTGTGTGTGTGTCTGTGTGTATCTGTGAGTGCTTACGTGCTAATATGCATGCACGTGTATATGAACTTGCTTGAGGACTCGGTGTCTACAGGAGGATGTAACATGGGACCATGTCATTCTGTAGAAGGACGTGAACTGTGGATGTGTGTGTAATGTGCAACAGTGCATGCACGGGCGTATTTGTGTGAATGAGTGTGTATGAGGTCGTGTGTGTCCCTAGCTGGGTGTTGCTGGACAAGTTAATGAAGCATTCTGTGCCTCCATGCTCCAATGTCCAAAATGAAAAGGGGTACTTTGGTGGATCAAAGGTGGCTGCTAATTCTTTGCCAGTCTGGCCACCGATAGGTGGGGTCCCTGTCACTTCCCCTTGAACCTGGGCTGGACTTGTGATCTGTTCTGACCAATGGAATCTGGGCCTTAGAAGACCCGCAGTACTTCTGCATTTGCAAATGTGGAACGCTGCCTCTTGGAACCCAGTGGCCGAGCTCTGAGATGCTAGAGCCCGAAAGTAAGGCCATGTGGCGGGAAACCAAGGCATGCCGTGGGTCGCCAGTGCCCGATGAGCTCACAGCCCACAGCAGCACCCACTGCCCGCTATGGGAGCGAGCCCTCCTGGAAGGGACTGTGGTCCTAGCTGACATTACGAGGAGCAGAACTGCAGCAGAGCTCAGTTAACTCACAAAATCGTAAGGTGTCATAATGGAGGTGGCTGTTTCTTAGCCATTAAGTTTTAGGGTGGTTAGCTATGCGGCAGTCATACCTTGTAGAATTTTTAAGCACTTAGAACAGGAGTTGGCAAACTTTCCCCGTAAAGGGCCAGAGAGTACATATTTCAGGTTTTGCAGGCCACGTAGACGCTGTTGCAACGACTCAACTCTGATGAGTAGGGCCAAAGCAGCCAAGGATAATGCATGAATGAATGCGCATGGCTGTGTTCCAATAAAACTTTATTTACACAAAGAGGTGGCAGCCTGGATTTGGCGGGTCAGCTATCAGCAGTCATTTGCCTAGACCTAGCAAACTGCCTGGCATACAGTGAGTGTTTCGAGGGTTAGCTATGCGTGTGTGTGTTAGAGTTTGCGAGTGGGTATGTCTGTGCACGCGTATGCGTTCACGCACACCTGCAGGGGCAGCGCGTGTCAGAATGAGTGTAAATGTGTCCATATGCGGCATCAGTGTAGTCGTTCTGTAAGACAAAGCAGTAGGCTCATATCAGCTAACGTTTCGACGCAGCTACCTCAGGCCTCCCTGCTTCTATTCTGGGGAGAAAGGGAAGAATGGTACAAAGCCAAGAGGACAAAGAGCTGGTATGTCCCTATCGTTTTCATCTGGGCTAAGTTTGGAGGGAAGCCATCATCTGTCAGTGGCTGAGCTACTGTAGGGCCGGCAGCCCACGCCTTCCCGTCTGCCGAAAGGAGAAGTCAGTCCTCTGGGGAGAGGGGGAGGGGACCCTGTAAAAATGAAAAAGGAACACTGGCGCTTTTAAGGAGGGGCTTGGGGAATGGGGATAAAGCTTCCCCCACCCCCATCCCCACCCCACCCCCACCCCCGCCTCGCTCCTATGGTGGGTGGCTTTTCCAGGCAACTTGTAAACATCTGCCTGCTGGTTTCATTTTGATCTCCCACTGTGGGCCTCATGAGGGGTGACTTCCTGCATGACTAACCTCCTTGGCTCAGTTTGCAAGGGCCAGAAATGAGTGTGAGTGTTGTAGCCACGCAGATGTGGATTCAAATCCCTGTTTGCACTCACTATGTGGGGCATGTGGCCTCACTTTGCTGAGCCTGTTTCCTCACCTGTAAAGTGGGGATGGAGGTAGTGGTATTACCTGCTAGGACTCTTCCAGTGGTCAAGTGGGGATGGTGTGTGTCAAGCATTTTGTACAGAGCTCTGCACTTAGTAAGTGCTCTGCAAGGTGACTCCCAGAGACAGACCCTCAGGGTTAGTGTGCAGGGCTTCAAAATTTCAGGGAAGCCTTCTCTAATCCCCTGGGCTGCTGTAAAGTCCCTTCTGATTTACAGAGTCATAGAAACCTCCTTCCGGCAAAGCATTCACCTCCGCTAGTTACTCAACACCACGTGGCATGCTTGTTGGTCCAGCATCTGTCTCATCCAGCAGACTGAAAGCTGCAGGCAAAAATAAGATGGAGTCAGTTTTGCTAACCGCTCCATCCCCAGGGCCAGCACGGGTCCTGGCACGTAGTTGGCACTCAGTGATTCTTTACTGAATGAGTGAATGGAGATGGAGCATTTCATAATTGGGACGTCCCTGGGATCCTGGGAGAGGGCATCTTCTTCCCGTCTAGTACAAACACAGGCGTGTGAGGGGCTTGCAATGGGTTCTTCCCAAACGGGGTTATGGTAGGAGCCCTCTTCGGCATCCTGTTGCATGAACAAGTTCGGCTCAGCTTCTCCGCAGTCACAAAGAATCTCAATGTTTCAGTTAGGGAGGCTAACATCACCGAGGGTTATTTTTCCCTTACGCAAAGGCCAGCACGTGAGCCTCCCGAACTCTTCGTAGTGACTCGGTTCCATCTTGTGATGCCACCATATTCAAGCGCGACCTATAATACCTCTGCAGGATCGCGTGAAAGTCCCGTGTGCTCCTTGCCCGGTGCTGGGAACCGGTCTGTTGACCCTGCCTGGCTGCAGTGGGGCGGGAAATACAGGGTTACTCATCAAGCAGGAGTGTCTCTGGCAAACCTGGGAAGGGCTCAGGCTCCTCGGCTGGTCTCATGCGTCTGGGTTTAATGATAGGACAGCCAAATGCATTTTGAATCCTTGGAAAATGGAGATCCCTACTGATTAGACTGCTTTTGGAAACCGGGTATTCATCAGAGGAAAAATAATCACTCATCACAAATCCTTTGCTTAAAACAGGGAGCAGTATTTTCAGCCTGCAGTTTCTGGCCACGTAAGACCCTGAGGGCACCCCCACCTCTAAAGTCCACCCCATTTTTCTCCATGGTTGAAATATGTCCTAATGGTTTTATTTTGATAAGGATCGACAGTCACCCATCAGAGGTTTAGCTCCTAATTCGAGGAGACCAGTGATTAAATAAACCACGAAGATAAACATCTTCTGATGAGATAAGGTCATTAAAAGCTTCTAGCTTGAGTCTGGCGTGCAGTAGGGACTCCTAACCCCCCATCCCCCTCCTCCCCTCCCCCCGGCTTTATTGGAAGGTGCCTTGATGGACTTTAATTTTTTTTAAGTGCAAGCTCAAAGTCACTGCATCGAAGATGGTAGTGGAGGGAGGAGGGAGACGGAGACAACGTATGGGCAAAACCCTGAATATTCGTGAAAAGAGCCAGCATTTTGTAAAGACAGACTGTATATGATGTGTGTTTTCGCCAGGCTAGAAGACAAAAAGAACAAGGGTAGTGTGCCTCCGAATAGGGAAGCTTTTCTTTTTCTTTTTTTCCTGAGAAGTTTCAGGATGACTCTGATGCCTTTTATAAATTAATTTTTTTTAAGATTTTATTTATTTATTTGACAGAGAGATAGCGAGAGCAGGAACACAAGCAGGGGGAGTGGGAGAGGGAGAAGCGGGCTTCCTGCCTAGCAGGGAGCCCAATGTGGGACTCGACCCCAAGACCCTGGGATCATGACCTGAGCCGAAGGCAGACGCTTAACGACTGAGCCACCCATGCGCCCTATAAATTAATTTTTTTCCTGTTTCCATCTCCCTGGGGTTGGAGAAAAGGGGAACTGCCAGTGGGATTAAATCCTATGCCTGTGTAGTGATATTTTGCCCTGTATCTCTCAGCTGAAGAATTCCATCCTGAGCTCCTATAATTTCACCTCTACCACCGCCCTTCAGCTGTCTCTGCCCCAAAGCATTCCTCACACATACCAGCTGGTGTTTCCAGGTTCTCTGACCTAAGGGCCATCTGACTGAAGGCCCTTATGGTTCACAACCCTGGCTGCATTCTAGAATCATCCAGGGAGCTGTAAAAAGCACCCCATACTTGGACTACACTCCCTGAGTTTGCTACCTCACTGGGCCAGGGTGAACTCTTGAGTGTGGACAACTTTCTTTTTCCCTTTAGAGAGAAAGAGAGGGCGCACGGGGGGTGGGGTGAGGGGGGAGCAGAGGGAGAGAAAGAATTGCAAGCAGGCTCCAAGCCTGACCCAGGCTCCATCTCACAACCCTGAGATGATGACCTGAGCTGAAATCCAGAGTCAGACGCTTAACCAACTGAGCCACCCAGGCGCCCCACTGAGTGTGGACGATTTTACAAAGCCCCTCATGGATTGGTATAGAGCCAGGACTGAGAACCATGAGCTTGAGCTTTCCACCCAGGACTCAAGCAGTGAAAATGAAATTTCATTTGAGCAATGAAAGAAAGAGAAAGCTTATAAGAAAATGACATAATTCAGAAGAGCCATGGGGATGGTGGATCCTCTCCCTGGATGTCCTCCCTCCTGGGAACAAAATTCACAATTGCGGCTCCCTCACAGGCCTGAAGGAGAGGAAGCTTGGTGGTGGGGAGGTGCTGGGCAGAGTGCCTGAGGGTGACCCTACCCCCCTTAAGACATGGATTCACCTTGGGGCACCTGGGTGGCTTAGTGGATTGGGCGTTTGACTTTTGGTTTCAGCTCGGGTCATGAGCTCGGGGTAGTGGGATTGAGCCCCACATGGGGTTCTGCTTAGAGTCTGCTTGCTCCTCTCCCTCCCCTTCTGTCTCCCTGCCCCCCAAATAAATAAAATCCTTTTTTTTAAACAAGGAAAAAGAGATGGATCCACCTTCCTACTGTTCCGAAGATGCTGGAGCACTACTCCAGAGACAACAGCTAAAATTTGGATAGCATTTCTCAATTTCACAGGCGTTAGTCTTTGATGCTCCAAACAAACCTATAAAAGGCAGGATTATCCCCACCCCCGCCATTTTGCAAATGAGGAAATTACCGTCCAGACAAGTTAACTGACTTGCCCAAAAGATTACAGCCACTGAACGGTAGAGCTGGGACTTCGGTTCTAATATTTATTGAGCATTTACTATATGCAAGGACGAAGGCAACTATTTCATAATTACTTCTTCTTTGACACCATCTCCTGCTATCCCTTGTTAGCCTTTCTGCAGCAAAATCTTATTTTCCCACTAATACCCACCCTTCCTTCCTGTTCGGCTCGGGGCTGCTCCCTGCCACGTGCCAGGCCTTCTTTCCCAGCATCCCTTGCAGCCAGGAGCGGTCACGTGACACCGGCGTGGCCAACGAGATGGAGGGAGACACGGGCTGCCTTCCGTCACCCGCTCTCTCTTCTCCTGGCCTTACACACAGTCAGGAGCTGTAGCAGCAACTGTGGGATCTCGAGATGACAAGGAGGAGAGGATAAAAGTGAAAATACCCAGAATGGCAGAGCGGAGAGATGCCTGGGTCCCCGATTCATCCCCGAGCTGCTGGCTGCCCACCTCCAGGCTCGGGCGGATGCAGAAGAATAAGCCGCCATTTGTTTAAGCCACTAGAGTTTAGGTTTTTCTAAATCGCGGCCAGATGTACTCCCAACGGGTAGAGTTTCCTACATGCCTGTCGTGGCGGCTGTTCTTTTCCTTTTTCCAAGTGAACACACCGCCCAGCAGCTCAGCTGCAAGCAGCCGGCAGCCGAGCGCCGCTGAAGCTTGGGCACTCCGGGCACAGCGGATCACTGTCTTCGTTGCATTACCTTTGAGACCTGGGGCTTGTCACCCGAATCAGCACTTTTGTTTTCCCAGCCTCTGTTTGCTTCTTGTTTTTAGAAGATAAGGGCAAGTGCTGGAACACGGTCAAACAATGGAGTACACGCATGGCGCGAAGATGGTGGCGTTGGCCCAACTCAGCCGCCGAATGGCAGGCCGACACCCGCTGCGGCCGCTGGTGAGGGAAGTCTGGATTCCTGCAGGCAAGGTGGCTTGGGGCATCGGTCAAGCACTCGTATCCAAGTCCAGCCGCTTGAAAGTCAAATGTACAGAAGTCAAGGACAGCCTGTGTGTACTCCCGCGGCAGCCCATGGATGCCACATGGGTTTTTTAAGCCTCCAAATCAGTTAGCTATGGCTGAGCCACCAACTATCACTACCTCAGTGGCTTAAAACAATGTCTGTTATGTCTCGGAGGCTATGGACCAGCTGAGTGCTTCTGCTAATCTGGGCCAAGTGTGACTGGTCTGGGCTGGGCTCGGGCAAGTGTTTCAGTCCATTTGTTGTCAGGTCGGTGTGGGATGGCTTCGTTCGCGTGTCTTGCAGGTGGCTGGCTGTCCGCTCTGGTGACAGGATTGATGGGGCCACGCGGTCCCCCATCCTCCAGCAGGCTAGTCAGTCGCACGGTGGCAGAAAGCTTGCAAGAGAACAATCAGAGGCAGACAGGGCCTCTTGAGCCCCAGGCCAGGAACTCGGGCAACATCCCTTCTGCCACATTCTACTGACTAAAGAAAGTCACAGTCATTTCAGTTTCAGGGGTAGGCGAGACCCCAAAGGCATCAGTGCAGGAAGAGAAGGAGCATGGGGGTCATTTTTGTCATCAGTTCACCATTGTACCTGGAGTGAGAGCTTTTCCTTGAACGGATCACCGGGGACATCAAGGAAAGAGAGAACAAAATCGGAGTAGCTAGAGAGATGGTTGTGTGGACAAAAGGGAAACCATCCTGTAGTGGAGACAGAATGAGCAGCACAGGGAACAGAGGAAGAGGTTGGAGACACAGACTAAATCGAACTTCCATTCCAATAATTACTTCTACACTGCCCGCCCGTTTCTGGTGCTTACTACATGAAACACGATCCCACTAAATCCTCTCTCACTCCTACAAGGGAGGTTCTACTATGAATCCCATCTTATAGATGAGGGAATCAAGGTTCCGAGAGGATTAGGTAATTTTTTTTTTTTTTTTAATTTATTTGACACAGAGAAACACAGCGAGAGACGGAACACAAGCAGGGGGAGTGGGAGAGGGAGGAGCAGGCTTCCCGCTGAGCAGGGAGCCCGATGCGGAGCTCGATCCCAGAACCCCGGGACCATGACGTGAGCCGAAGGCAGGACGCTTAACGACTGAGCCACCCAGGTGCCCCGAGGATTAGGTAATTTGTAGAGAGACTCGCGGATGAGAGATGCGGGACACAAGACTTGAAGACAAATCTTTTGGTGTCAAAGCATTGGCCCTAGCCAGGGCTCTGTTCTGTCTTTAGGACAACTTGTTTCTCTGTCCTCCGCTCAGGCCCCTGTCCAGGCCTGGACTGCTGCAGCACCTGAAGACTTCCCAGTGATTACTTCCAGCCGATTTTTTTTCCTATAAAGGGCCAGAGAGTAAATATTTGCAGGATTGTGTTGCAATTATTCAGCTCTGCCAGTGTAGGCTGACTTGAGCCAGGGATGGTATATAAAGGAATGGCACAGCTGTAAAAACTTTATTTACAAAAACAAAGGCATTGCCAACCCTTGCTTAATCCATCCTCCTCCACCTTGCAGCCAGAGTGAGCCAAACTCAAAGGCCACCTGCCATTCCTTGCCTAAAGTGGTTCACCAGTTATCTCTGGGGATCAGTCCAAACTTTTATCATGGTATCCAGCCCTGTGATCGACGTGTGGCCCCTGGGGCCACCGGCATCACCATCACGCGATGGAGCTTGTTAGGAAAGCAGAATCTCAGGTCCCCAGCTCAGACCAGCTGGATCAGAATGTGCACTCTAACCAGACTCCCAGGTGGTTTGCTCATTCCGGTTTGAGAAGCTCTGGCTTCAGGACCCCTGTATCCTCCCTCTCCCACCTCGTCCTTTGCCGCTGGAGCCTCCTCCCTCCCGCCCACCCCCCCTTTCCAGCCAAACTGAAATGCTCCATTCACCTCTGTCCTTGATACATTGCTCTCCTGCCCAGCTCCCTCCACTTAGCGAATTCCTACCAACCGCCAGATCTCAATGTAGATGTCACTTCTTCCGAGCAGCCTTCCCTGAAATTCCCGAACCGCATAAGGTGCCCCTCTTGTCTCCTTAGCCCTTCCTCACCACCACCCACCACACTGCATGGAAACCACGGAACTGCCGACCTCTCACAATGGGTTTGCGAGCTCCTGACAGAGACCACATCCGTCTGGGTCACCGCATGGGTCCTCAACACTGGGGACAGTAACCACTCAACAGCTACTTGTGGAAAACCGAACAAAACAGACCCACCACCTCTCCCTGAGCCAAGGATCCTACACAACACTGTTTCATCAGCCTGTGGCTGCAGGTTCTCTCAACTTTCACCTGGCTCCCAGACTTTGAGGAGTCCTGCATCATCTCCAAGATTCCATCTTTCAGTAAGCCCCGTGGTTTTTCACTATTAGCAAATGTTTACCATTTGGAGAGGGCCCGAGGGCCTAAGAGATTTCTGAGCAAAATTCTTGAGCAACAAATTAGCTACAGGCCAAGACCTGAATTGTGTTATGGGGGGTGTGTGGGAGCCAGGCAGAAGGTTCTAGGCAAGGAAAAAGCCTTGAAGGCAGGACCCCAGGCTGCAAACCTATAGAACTGTGAACTAACATCCTTGTCCGCCTGTGTACAGCGCCAACTGTATACAATTATTCTAGCGTTGCTGAGTGGGAAAAGACTCCCAGACACCCAGATGCTGAAAGCGAGTGAGCTTGTATAAGGAATCATAAGCCAGGGCATCCACAAGCTGCCCTTCAGGAAGAGGAGAGCCCTCCCCGAATCTGACATTCAGTCCAGAGTTTTCTACAAGTTCCTTTATTAACAAAGCAAAGTATAAAAGAACAGGCCCCCCTCAAAAAACCCAAAAGATTAAAAGTGCAAATTTACTCCAACCTGAAATAGAAAACAAATGGCTGGCCCCAACTGTTTGGGCCATGGAAATGTGGTGTGATCTAAAACTTTTAATCACACACCGGTAGCAGCGGGATCATATTTGATTAACCCTTTGGTCTCTGTTATCGGAACAAACCATATACTATGACTGCAGCCAGCAGACTGCATCAGAGTACACAGCTGGGGGTCAGAATACACATTTAAAATAACAATAAAATAAGGAATGTTTTAAAGTCAAGTCACTGAATCAAGGCACAATTATTTTTTAAAGCAAACGGTGCTAAAAATATTCCTGAATATCTGATACTTCAAAAACCAGATTACATATCATTTTTTTAGGCTATTCTCTCTGTATAGATGATTGCATATTATCTTCAGCCTCTCCCAACTTATACTTGCTAAATTCCCATCAAACCATGTGCTATGTAGGTATAAAAGAAAATAAACAGTAGTGTCTAAGTAACAGACGTGTGATTTAAAAAAAAAAAAAATTAACAAACACCAAGATGATAACACTGAACTTTTTTCCCTCTCAAGGGTCACTGGAAATGTTAATGAGGTTCATTTCCCCCACTACTGGGGAAGGTGGTAATAGCCTTCCTCCAGGTGGGTAGGGATAAGTTAAGTCTTCTTAAGTTAAGTCAAAGGCCACATTTTACAGAAAGAGTGACTTACTCCATGAGGTTAAAAAAAGAGATGCTTTGGAAGCGTGTTTGGTTCATCCCTTCCGAATGCGAGGATGTCAGTTTTGGTGGAAGCCAACAGTGTTCTTGGCGGTGGGCATGGTAACAAGCCTAAGAAGCTTGGCCTGAAGACCCAGCACTGGTTTTCTGGGGTCCAAGGCCACCCACCATCACTGCTAAGTCACAGTCTGGGAGACTACTTAAAAAAAATGACTAATTTAAAAATCAGAACAAAATACACATCAGAAAGAAACAAGTTATTCTGCAATCCTTCCTGATTACTCATCTGTGAACTTGGAGACAGAGCACCGACTCACCAGGAAGGAAATGCCAAGAACTGGCCCCCAGTGGTTTGCTTGGAGGATGTGTAGCTGGACAAGAACAGCTCCGGGATCGAGGGTCCTTCTGGGAACTATGAGTTAAGTGTTATCTGTGGCCCTGTTTTTTTTTTTTTTTTTTTGGTTTGTTTCTATAATAAAGCTTAGTTCTGAGAAATAAGGACTTGAAATATCACACCCCCAACTATGTATAACGACATCTCCAGAACAATAAATATAACCTTATATATACTTGGAGGATTAACCATGTTCAGCAGGGGTCGCAAACTGGTGGCCCCAGGCTCAAGCAAATGCTCTGTTTGGCCCACTTGGTGTGTGGGACAATTTAAAACGATTTTGTTTAAAAATGAGAAAGTTTCACTTTAAAAAAAAAAAGAATCCTGATTTCCGGCCCCTCCCTCCCTTTTTCCCAGCACAGAGCTGACCAATGGCTGCCCTGTTTAAGAGGGGCATAGCCCCCCACCACCCACCCACCCCTTCCCGGACTGATCTCCCTGCCTTGCTTCCGCAGGCTGCTGAGTTTGCGACCCCTGGCTTGAAATAGCACATACCTAAAAATGTTTTTCCTACCCAAACCTCTTGCACCCTCATGTGATTCCCCCCCTCCCCTGGGGTTCCCCTTCTCGCCATCTCTTCCTTCACTTCCCTCTTAAGGCCTCTCTCCTGAATTCTTCAGATTTCTCTTGGTTCCCTTGCTCTCAGTCTCCCTTCTTACAGCTTCTTCCATTTCCTCTTGCAAAAAAAGTCTCCTTTTCTCAGCCCACAACGAGCCTTCCAGGATGGCTCCCAAGACTGGTCAGTGGGAGTTACTGAAGGGTGTCTTCAGGCAAAATGGCTGAGTCATCGTCCCCAGAACTTTTCTTCCGGCACTGGCTGGACAGTTAATCTTTTTTTTTTTTTTTTTTTTTTTTTTTTTTTTTACCACGAGCAATTTGGAGGCTTGTATAAGAATCTTTGCATACATTAATCTCTAGTACCAAGTATACACCAAAAATGTGTACATTTCAGATCAAGGAGGTGATGGAGCCCTGGGATAAAAGACAGAATTGAGCTTAATTTAAGTGCCTCGGGCAACCATCACACCTGGCTAATATGCCATATTATTTCATTTGTACACAGTACATGTTTGGGATCACTACACATTGATCAAAATTGATCGAAATCTAGGTTTTGGTTGCCATGTAGAGAACAATTGCTCAGCATGGCGCTTAAATAAAACAATATTTTAACAATTCACAAACACAATGCCCCATTAATTAAAAAATAATAATAAAATTTAAAAATCTTGAGGATGGATGAGGCTTTGGGTAATTAACCTGAAAAATAACAAAAACACTACAAGAACAAAAATGTTACCAGATTTAAACTTCAAAAGACTAGCAAGATAAAAAAAAAGGAAGCTATCAACTCAACTAGAGACATTTGGAAAGTTCAGCTTTTAAAGCTTTATAATCCTTCCAATAGCCTTGCTGTTCCCCATTTCAGTAGACTTAACAAGACTACAGGGGGAATTGGGGCTGATATGGAAACATTATAAATATATATATCTATATATAAAGATCTACTTACTCTTTGCATCTGTTTTAATAAGTAATTTTAAGAAACACTCTGCAGTTTATATCTTTGTAGGAAGTTGGTAGACTGATCCCTTTACTAAACTCAGTACCTTATGACCTAACACTGACCTTAAAAACTGGTAATGACCTTTGTGATATCAAGAGGAACTGTCCCCACAACCTCAAAGAGAGGGCATGACATTTGCAACTGTTTCTCTTACAGTCCAAGGTTGCAAAGGATCTAAGAAGTCTCTGCAGCTCCCACGAGGATCCCCTGCAAATCATTTATTCACAATGATTTCCTGCAGTGGCCAAGTTGGTCCCCTAAAGAAACTTCAAAGAATTCCCTCAGAATAACCCCGAAGCTAAACAATGGCCCTATTCAGGTGGCTATTTCTGTCTTCCAAGTTTTACCTTTAAGAGTCTAAGGAAATACATGTCTTTGTCAAAAATATTAAAAAGTCCCAAAGTCTAACACTGGGTGGGACTGGCTGCATTTTCTATTAGGCAAGCAGATGATGGACTATTCTGAACCTAAACCTAAAGTGAGTTGGGGATATTGATGTCCAAAGAGAAAAAACAGCAGACTGTTGGCCAAGAGCTGTCACCCGCACCTCACTCTCCTCAGCTGACTGCTGATCCGTGGTCAGGGAGCACAGAGCCAAAGATACTGAAGTCTATGGGAAATGCTTTACAAGACCTGGGCCGAATCAGCCGCTCCTCCAAGTCGGCCTTAGGACCACTTAAAGGCCGCCAGGGGGATGGGAGGGAAACGTGGTGACCACTAACCATCACTGAGCACTGACTCCGGGAGCTAACTCCGGGAGCTAACTACTAGGCACTACGGCAGGCATTTGCTCATTATCTCATGAAACTCAGAAAGACATTTCCATGCAGAGGAGTTTGTTCAAAAGGCTTCAAACAACAACAAATGCTTCTGCCTCCGGCCAGCAGCAAGCTCTGGTGAGTCACCTGGATAGGCAAAGACCGAAATGTATCTTTCTCAAAACCCAACCTGTTTTCCCTGCTCACCTGTATGGTCCTAAACACCTATTTTTTGCTACTTGGCACCCCTGGCTCACAGTGCGCTCTCCACGAATGCCTGCTGACTGGTACATACCGTAGGGTGTGCCCGCAGGATGTTAAGCAAGCCTGCTTTTTAAGACTGCACATTTCTTTATAATAAAGGTAACTGGCCTCCCTTTTGGATGCAACACTTGGCAGTGGCAATTACCACAAAATGAAAGGACTGATCAAAATAAAGTGCTATTTGCTCTGGAAGTTTCTCTAACCAACTCTTGACTGCCCCTCAACACATGTGACTTAATTCTTTGCAGTCCTGTCAAACACCCGTGATTGCACCACTTAAAAAACACATTAATATTAATTTGAATAGTGAAAACTGTATTCCTCAGAACATTAGCCCCTAGAATAGAACTTCAATTCCAGTTGTAGATAAAGATTCCGATTTTTAAAAAGACAACCAGGAACCCAGGACGGAGCAAATAGTTATAGGGGGAAAAAATAGCTTCTTAAAATTTGGGGGCCAGAGATCTGTCTCAAAAACTGACAGAGGGAACTTTCTCTGCAGCTAGTTCTTGTTTCCTTTATTGGGCTTCCCTAAAAGCTGGATCCTTTGCAGAATCATTCCACACAAACCAACATTTGAACCAACTCTTAGCTGCTGGTGTTGGAGGTCTTTCTGTAGCTTGCTAAGGATACGCTGGATTGTGGAGTCAGGGGGGACATATAAGCCACCATACGTCACCCGCCAAATTTTCCATCACCTTTGGCACCTCATTTCCTTGCATTAAACTGGCTTCGTTGCCGTCCCCACCCCATCTGGTGGGAGAGGCTTTAGGAGCATTAGGCCGGGTGGGGGCACTGTCAAGGTTTATGGCTGATCTTCAGGGAACCCCTGCGTGCGCTGACTCCGGGGTGGGGGGCACCTGGCAAGGTAGCGAGGACCCCCGTAGCCCCGGAGAAGTTGGGGCAGCCTTCGCCAGGTGGACAGCAACCGCGCCGCTGCAAGTTCCCGGGCGTGCCTGTCGAAAGCAGCCAGGAGATCAACAGGGGCAGCTTCACGCAGTACCTTGGGCAGCGGGCCCACCTCGGCAGCTGCCCCACCAGGGCCCAGAACGCAGTGGAAGAGCGTATGGCGTCTCAGCAGGCAGTCCCTAAGGAACTGCACTAACTCCTCCAACCGCTCGCCCAGGTGCGCCTCGTCCCAGCCTGAAGCAGGAGCCCCCTCCCGCAGCAGCACCGCCAGCAGCACTGTCTTGAGCATGTATGAGGACAGGATGCGTCCCCACTGGGTGGCGGCCGTCGGGTCCAACCCGCGGGCGCCCAGGTCTCGCAGAGCTTTAAGCAACTGCAGGCACTTGAGGTAGCAGGCACCTGGAGGGGCCCGTTCCTGCAGCCAGCTCAGCAGCTTCTGCTCCTGCCGAGCTGTGTTCACACCCCACAGTGCATCCGTGCGCAGGCCTCCAGGGAGCTCCGACAGAGGCCCGACGGGCGAGGGGGATGGTGGCGGTGCCACGAGGAAAACGCCGTCGCCCAAATGCACAGCGGGGATGAGACGCACTGCCATGGAAAGGCGGCAGCAGCCGTAGTCGGTGCGGCAGGGCAGGATGTGCAGGGTGGGAGCCTGCTCCAGGCCGCCCGGGGTCAGGCTGACCCGACAACGCCCCTCCAGACTGTAGCGCACGGTGGCCAGGGAGCGCTGCAGGTGCGCCTGGAACCAGCGCAGCACCAGCGCGGCAGAGAGGTGACGCCGCCCGAGCACGTCCACGCAGAAGCCGTCGGCGAAGGGTTTGCAGTCCCGCAGCCAGTGGCTCCCGGAGGCCCCGGGCGGCGCCTTGAGGGCGCACACGAAGCAGCCGCGGAAGGCGGGGGCCAGCGCGGGCTCGGCGCCCAGGCTCCGCGGCTCCAGCGCCACCAGCGGCGGGAGACGCAGCGGCACCAGCACGTCGAAGCCGTCGGGCCGCCGGATTTTGTGTTGCTCGTAGGCGCTGCCCACCTGGATGAAGTCTCCACGGAAGGCCAACGCCAGCGCCCCGCCAGGGATGGGGCCGGGGGACCCGCGGGCGCGGCCAGCTCGCACCAGCTCGCCTACGATTCGGCTCACGTGCGCCTTGCTGTGGCCCAGCACGTGCGGGGACAGGCGCACCTCGTGCTCGTAGTAACTCTCCAGCAAGATGCCAAGACTCGGCTCTCGGAAGTGTCTAGGAGAGAAGGTCGGGTGGCTCCCCAGGCGAGGAGACCCCGGCAGGAAGCGCTGCCGAACAGCGTGGCGACAGCGCAGGAGGATGTAGCCAAGGAGGAGCAGGACGGCCACCTTGAGCAGCGGGAAGCCGCCGTCCGCACCGTCGGGGGGCTCGGCCCGGGCGCCCCCGCTTCCCCGCAGGACATGGTAGAGGCACACGAGGGCCGTGCAGAGGCCGGTCACCAGGGGCCAGAAGACGCGCAGATTGAGGGTGTAGTGCACCGACATACCGGGCGCCCGGGGCAGCGGCGGCCTTGCAGCCCAGGGCGCGAGCCCCGGCGGCGCCCCCGGCCCAGCATGCGGGCAGCGCCCCGGCAGCCCCGCGGTCCCGGTCTCCTTCGCCTCCGCGGCGGCTCCCCCCTCGCAGGGCCGGGGGAAGGCGCCCTCCAGCTCGGCCTCCTCTCCCAGCTCAAGTTTTCCTTCCAGCTGCGGCCCGCCCTGCACTCCCGGGCCCCGGGCCGCGCCCTGCGCCGGCCGCACACTGCGTCCCGCCCGGCGCCCCTCCCCGCCCGGCGGCCCGGCGCGCTGCCCGCGGCCAGCTTCCGACCCGGCCCGGCTCGCCTCCTACCCTGCGCGGCACTGCCGGGCACCCCCTCGGCGCTCGTTCCCGCTCTCCTCCGCGCTTGTTCCCGTTACTCGGCCCCAGGAGCTTCCTCTTCCGAGGGGACAGGAGTCCGCGCCAGCGAGCGGGGAGGAAATGCCGAAGTCTGGAGCCGTGCGCGGAGCCGCCGGGTGGCGTGGCCCCCTCCCCGGCCTCCGCCTTAAAGCGACGCGGGGCGGCGGGAGGGACTTCAGGACGCGCCTGGAACTGGCTTCTCGCGGGTCACCCCCCGCCCCCCTCCCCGAAGGCAGAACCGGGAAGGGCCTGATCCCGGGGCGGTGGCCTCGTCCCGGGAGCCACTGGAGTGGTGCTCACATAAAGTTACACGGGGAAGTTGAGAAGGAGAAAAGGGCTCACACCCAGGGTGTCCCTCCCCGCCCCCAGCCAAGCGAGTCGTGGCGCTGGTGGCGTGGCAGGCTCTGGCACGGAAGTGGCCGCTGCCCCACCGTGCTGCCGTCCCTTATTCAAACCAGTATTTACTGAGCACCTACTACGCGCCAGGCAGTAGGCTAGGAGCTGGGGAAACAGCAGTGGGCAGGATGAGCCGAGGTTTGTGCCCCTCGGAAAGCTTACAGCCTTTCTAAAAAAGGAAACCAAAAGAGAAAGGATCCCGTAGCAGAAAATGCTCTGAAAGAAACAAAACGGCGCGAGGGAGTGAGAAGGTGGGGCTGCTCCATGGAAGCTGGAGGCTCACTGCGGGCTGACGTTTGGTCTGCGATCTGAACGAGGAGGAGCCAGCCTTGGGAATATCAATTTCAGCTCTTACAGAGGACTGACTGTGTGCCAGTATTGTGCTAATCACCTTCCACATACTCCCTCCGCATGTCAATCCTATGAAATGTACACTTGTTATTTTCCCCATTTTTCAGTTAAGGAAACTGGGACTTAGCCGGGTTCGGGGATTTGCCCAGGATCACACAGCTTTAGCAGAGCTGTGCCTTGAATATAGGCATCTAGATCCAGAGAAACCAGGGGGCAGGACTCAGAGAGGGGGACAAGGGAGTCTCGTTCTCAACTGCTAGGAATTCGTCTGTGTCCTTTGTCAGGACCTGCATTGAGACCTCAGTCCTCCGGAAGTGTTTTTTTTTTTTTTAAAGATTTTCTTTATTTCTTTATTTATTTGAGAGAGAGAGAGTGAGAGAGCACAAGAGGGGGGAGTGGGAGAGGGAGCAGCAGACTCCCCGCTGAGCAGGGAGCCCGATGCGGGACTCTAGATCCCGGGACTCCAGGATCATGACCTGAGCCGAAGGCAGTCGCTTAACCAACTGAGCCACCCAGGCGCCCCGGAAGTTTTGTTTTGTTTCATAACAGGGAACACTCCCTGAAATAATCTGGATTTGTTTAGTTAAACTGGATTTATTGAAATAATTACCTTTATTTATTTATGCTCATTACACCTTCCCACCCCCCGCCGAACACCATTTAAGGAGAGCAAAGGTGAATGTATTAAAACTGTCATAACTGGGGCGCCTGGGTGACTCAGTCGTTAAGCGTCTGCCTTCGGCTCAGGTCATGGTCCCAGGGTCCTGGGATCGAGCCCCGCATCGGGCTCCCTGCTCAGCGGGAAGCCTGCTTCTCCCTCTCCCACTCCCCCTGCTTGTGCTCTCTCTCTCTCTCTCTCTCTCTCTCTCTCTCGCTCTCTCTCGCTCTCGCTGTGTCTGTCAAATAAATAAATAAAATCTTTAAAAAAATAAAACTGTCAGAACTCAGCTGCCCTCTAGGACTCAGGACACAGAGGATGACTCCTGAGTTAAGCATCTGGATGACTCCCAGGAAATCCTGAGTTGAGCCTCTTAGAGCTAAGGAGACCTGCTTTCAGATCCCACCTCTACTTTTATTAGCTCTGGACCCATGCTCTACTAGTCCAGGTTCTTCGGGTTGCAAGTGACAGAATGACAGCTTAAAAATATCTTATTGTGTCATGTTAAGTGAGACCTCTTTTCTAAGCTGGGGGCACTCTCTGCCAGGCCTTCCTTCTCCATAGGCCCCTGGCCGCTCTAACCTCACCTCCTCATATTAACCTCGGTGCCGAGGAAGAGAGCTGTGCTTGCCTGAAAATTGTAGCAGATGCCATGCCTAGAGATAGTTTTGAGAAATATGCTAAAAGTGACCAAGTTAGGGGTGCCTGGCTGACTTGACTGGTAGAGCATGCTACTCTTGATCTCAGAATTGGGAGTTCGAGCCCCATGTTGAGGGTAGAATTTACTTTGGAAAAAATAATTTTTTTAAATAAATAAATAGGCTCTGTGCTCAGCCCAGAATCAGCTTCTCCCTCTCTGTCACTCCCCCTTGCGCCTGTACTCTCTCACTCTCAAATAAATAAAATCTTACCAAAAAAACCGGGGATGTCTGGGTGGCTCAGTTGTTTAAGCGTCTGCCTTTGGCTCAGGTCATGATCCCAGGGTCCTGGGATCGAGCCCCGCATCGGGCTCCCTGCTCAGCGGGGAGTCTGCTTCTCCCTCTGCGCCCCCCCACCCTTGTGCTCGCACTCTCTCTCTCTCTGATAAATAAATGTGGCCAAGTTAGAGAATGCACTGATAAACCTGGCCTGGGCTGGTGCTATGGGCTGAGTTGTGTCCCCCCAAAATTAAAACTCTAACCCCTAATGTGACCGTATTTGGAAACAGCTTTTCAGTGGTCATTAAGGTTAAATGAGGTTATAACGATGGGCCCTAACACAGCAGAACTGGTGTCTTATAAGAAGAGGAAGGGGCACCAGGGTGGCTCAGTCGATTGAGCCCGGACTCTTGGTTTCGGCTGAGGTTATGATCTCATGGGTCCTGGGATCCCACCCCAAGTGTGGCTCCTTGCTCAGCGGGGAGGCTGCTTGGAGAGTCTCTCCCTCTGCCCCTCTCTCCATGCCCGCGTGCATGTGCGTGCCCTCTCTCCCTCTCTCTCTCTAAAATAAATAAATCTTTTTTTTAAAGATTTTATTTATTTGACAGAGAGAGACACAGCGAGAGAGGGAACACAAGTAGAGGGAGTGGGAGAGGGAGAAGCAGGCTTCCCATGGAGCAGGGAGCCTGATGCGGGGTTCGATCCCAGGACCCCGGGATCATGACCTGAGCCGAAGGCAGACGCTTAACAACTGAGCCACCCAGGCGCCCCTAAAATAAATAAATCTTAAAAAAAAAAAAAAAAGATGAAAAGACAGAGCGGTCTCTTTCCATACATACACACACGCCAAGGAAAGACCTTGGTGGCCATCTGAGGGCCAGGGGGAGAGCTTGCACCAGGACCCTCTGTACCTTGACCTTGGGCTCTCCAGCCTCTGCAACTGTGGGAAAATAAATTTCTGTTGCTGAAGCCATCCAGTCTACGGTATATGGAGCCCCAGTTGACTAACACGGTTGGAGGTGGGGTGAGCCCTGCTCAAACCATGGGGACTGTGGGAGGGGTATCCCTCATGGAAAGTCACAACACTACGCTGGAAGAAGGGGGATGTTTGGCATGCAAAAACAACAGGTGGCCACCATTTGGGGATAAATCTCTTAATCCCTCACTTTGCTTCAATCTCCCCTATAATCTATGAAGGGGGGGGTTAAGAAAGTAACATGTTCTCCCTAGCGGAAATGGTGGTGTGCTATCTTCAGCCATACAAAGAAGGGCAACTCTCGATCATAGGTCAGCAAACACTTTTTGTAAAAGGCCAGAGAATAAATATTTCAGGCCCTACAGTCTCTGCTCTGACGACTTGGGTCTGCTGTTATAGACCCAAAGCAACTGTATTCATTTCCTGGGGCTGCCGGGGAGCTTAAAACAACAGAAATTTTTCTCTCACAGTTCTTGAGGGCAACGGGGCTATGCTCCCTCAGAAGCCTTTAGGGGAGGATCCTTTCTTGCCTCGTCCAGCTTCTGGTGGCCCCAGGCCTTCCTTGGCTTGTGGCCACATCACTCTGCTCTAATCTCTGCCTCTCTCTTCCTACAGGCTTCTCCTCTGTGTCTGTAACTTTTCTTTTTCTGTTTCTTGTAAGGACACGTGTCACTGGGTGTAATCCTAGTGATCTCATCTGGAGATCCTTAACTTAATTACATCTGCAAAGATTCTCTTCCCAAATAAGTTCACATTCACAGGTTTCAAGGGTTAGGACGGGGACATATTTTTGGGGGGGGTGTATTAGAAGAGCCTCAATTTTCCTTCCTATGTGTCTCCTTTACTACTCACACTGCATACCCCGCTTCTGACATTTCTGGCCATCCAACGTTGGGGGGGGTTCCCCACAACAAGCAATTCTCTGCCACACCAGCTGGGTGTCCGACAATTTAACTGGATTCTGACACTATCTCCCTGGAGATGGTATCAGATCCCACAGGTTAAGAGCTCAGTCCCATAAGACTGGCCCCCCCGCACTTCAGACACCAGTCACAAGAAGTAGGTCTTCCAGGTGACCCATTATTCTATCCAACTTGGCTATACATTGGAGATTCCTATAACCCCCTCCTTGGGTTTGATTAATTTGCTAAAACAGCTCACAGAACTCAGGAGGGCATGTTTACCAGTTTATTAAAGGACATGATAAAGATACTTCTGTCCCTGTGGAGTTGGGGTGTCCCCCTTTTTACAGGGTGTCTTGTCACCCTCCCAGTACATGGCTGTGTTCACCAACTTGGAAGCTCCCCAAACCCTGTACTCCTGCAATTTTATGGAGGCTTTCTCACATAGGCATGATCAATTATTAACTCAATTTTAGCCTCTTTCCCCGTCTCTGGAGAAGGGGAGGGGGCTGCTGAAAATACCAAGCTTCTAATCATCACTTGGTCTTCCTGGTGGAGCCATCCAGGAGCCCACCCAGAGTCACCTCATTAGAACAAAAGATTCTCCTAGTGCTGTTATCACCTAGGAAATTACAAGGGTTTTAGGAACTTTGTGCCATGAACCAGGCGCAGAGACTAATATATATATATTTTCTATTATCTCACAGTGGGCCACGATTGACCCCACTACACTGAGCAAATGATGTAACACTGTTACTGTTTTTCCTGCTTATAATCGATTTCCATAGCTCATTTCCTCCAAAGAGTTCAAGGTACAAGCCTCAGAACTTTGCCCTTGGAAAATCTCCTGTGTCAGAACAAACAAAAAATCATTTATTATTAATTTATTACACACCTCTGTGGGTTCTGTGCCAGGCAGAGAGGAATGCAAAGGAAAACAGGGTGCTCTATCCACACAGTATGGGTAGATTCAGAAAACTGCCACCCTTTCAGTGACTTTAGATAATTATTTCCTTAAAAATTTCCTTTAATGTTTAATATTTGACAAGGCCACTCCTGCTTTATTTATTTATTTTTTTTATAGATCAGCAAATATATACACACAGTCCTTCCAGCATTTCTGATACGCCAGAGGTGTGTCCCCCCGTGGAGGAAGAATGACACACTGATGAGAGGAAAAGAGAAGGCCGAGGTGACTCATTTCTCACGGGAGGCTTGGATAAGGCTCACGGGTATGGGGATGAGACACATGATCAGGCTTTGAAGGATGGGAAAGGACATTATGCTTGATAAATATCGCCTCCTGGACGCAGCCCTTCCCAAGCAGCATTTCCTCAAATACTCGGAACAAGCCCAGTGAGGCAGATGCTGATATTAATGCCCTTTTGCATATGGGAAAAGTGCAGCTAATAGAGGGAGAGTAACTATTCCAAGTCACACGGCTGGCAAACCTGACGCTTCACTCCCTTTCGCATTGTAAAGGGTTTTACGGCACAGAAAGGGGGCATCCTGGGGATGCAGGTTAATTTGTGTGCCTATGTCCCTAACCAGGTGATGAGGTTCTTGGAAGCAGGGACTTTGCCAGATTCAACTTGGTATTCCCCAGCACCCAATGCCATGCTCGGCACTTCAGAGATTTGTTGAATGAATGAGTAA